GTGGGTGTGGGGTGCGGGATCTGGGAGGGAGTTTGGGTGCAGAAGGGGGCTCAGGGCTGGGATGGGGTTTGGGGTGTGAGAGGAGATGCGTGGTGTGGGCGCCAGGAGGGGGATTAGGGCTGAAGCAAGGGGTTGGGGTGCGGGAGAGGGCTCGAGGGTGCTTACCTCAAGTGGCTCCCAGCCAATGGGAGCTGCAGAGCTGGTGCTCAGGGTGGGGACTGTGCACAGAGCCTCCCTGGCCCCTCCTGCGCCTAGGGGGCTGCAGGGACATGCCAACTGCTTCTGGGAGCCACATGGAGCCAGGGCTGGCAGGGAGCCTGCCTTAACCCTGCTGCGCTGCTGACCAGACTTTTAACAGCCCGGTCAACAGTGTTGACCCGAACCGCCAGAGTCTTTTTATGGCCGGGCATTCCAGTCGAAAACCGGATGCCTGGCAACCCTAGGAAGGATAGCATGTGTCAGGTACATTCTGGGGACAGGATGTAGGCCAGACAGGGAAGGAAGGGGATGTGGTTGATCTGTTCTGTGCTGCACCTGATTCTTCACACACACACAAGGTTCTCAAGGCCTAGAGTAGTGCACCAGTGAATCAGGGAGCCATAATTGGCTCCCTGCAGCTTCTGTCTGTTTTGTCCAAGTTAAGCTCAGATGTAGGTGAGAATCAGTGCATGTAAGTCAAACTGTTTTTCTGTCTTAGAATAAGACTAAGAATCAGTACAAGATTTTTCTTTCTCTTTTAAAATAATTTACTTTATACGTGTATAAAGTTTTAGGATATAAAGACACATTAAATTCAAGGATTTTTTAATAAAACCTAAACTTTTAAAGAAGGAATCTTTCTGCTAGCTCTTAATAATGTGCTTTTAATTCTCTATTTGTATTTGTTTTCAGAAAGACTATTTCAGTGAGCTAGGCTTGAATACAGGACAGCTGGGTATTGATGACTCTACACAAGTGCCTCCAGGTTAGTGTGTGCTGTGCTTTAATAATTTAATTAGAAAAGTAATGATTAAAGTATATGTTTTCATGGAATACTGTGTAATTGTAAAGAAACTCATATAATTTTTCCATAATATTCATAAGTATTTGTCCCACAGCTATAACTCGAATGGTTCTCATGTAAATAAAGTGGAACATATTTGAACTGGTAGTGGATAACATTGCAAATGTGAAGGGCTTGATTTGAAAGATGTGGAGTGCCTGCAATACCTGTTGATTTCAGATGGAGCGGCAGGTGTTTAAACCCTTTTCAGGATCAGGCCTGTCTCTCAAAAAAAAAAAAAA